GCACATCCAACCTCGCTTATCTCCCCTCCCCCATTATAACCATTCGTAGTAGATGGGTCTCTACTTTTTCTTTCACAGAATATTACTCCATTTGCTGCTGAACCGGCAGTCCAGTGCTCTACAGTGGTCCAGAAACCATCCTTCAAAGGCAATGGGTTCATCAAATCAGTATGTAGGCAAGTTCATGACCCAGGGCCACACTGAAAATAATACACAGGGCGGAGACACACCCCAGTCGGTTAAGTGCAAGTATTTCCTTCCACCTTATGAGTTACAGTTTCTCTAAAGGTGCTTTTAGTGATTTTCTACTTTCATTAGAAATGAAATAAAAGCTGCAAGAGGCTATTTGTACCACAAGGTGTCAGCCCAGGATAATTTAATCTTCAAAGCCTTTTTTTTTTTTTTTTCTTTTTTACACTATCTGATAAAGTCAGAGAGTCCAAAAACGTATATAGGAGCTCATTAAAACGTGCAATATAGCGGGGCATGATGACACACACCTTTAAATCCCAGCGCTCAGGAGGCAGAGGCAGGCAGATCTCTGTAAAAGGGGAAGTTTGTGACCCAGGGCCACATTAAAAATAATACACAGGGTGGAGACATAGCTCTGTCGGTAATTTGCACCTTGTGAGTTCCAGTTTCTGAAGTCTGAGTTCAACCTGCAGAAGTCACGAGTTTACAGGTTTATTTTGAACTCCTCTAAACTTTTGCTTCTTGGACCCTTTCCCCCAACACACACACACACACACACACACACACACACACACACACCTAGTTATCCTCTTACCTCCACGTGTGTGTATTGTAACATTCTTTCACGTATCTGCAATCAATCAATCAGTCAATCAATAAATGGTGTACATAGCGAGTTCCAGGCCAGCCATAGCTGATAGCGAGGCCCTGTCTCAAAAGGAACGAAACAATAAAAGAAAACATGCAGTGTTTGTGCCCTGTGAATAAAGGATCATCACGGGAAATGCGGCTGCGAGTTTGTTTTTCTTTACATTTCCTCACCAGACTAGTTCTGGGAATGCTGTGCGCGAAATTCCCGAGATGTTGCAATCGAGAACTCGATCAGCAATTACAGAGTCTTCTTGCGTTTCAGAGGAGTAGATCCCCGCTGGCATTTTCTCTTTATGAAACTTTCAAACATTGACGATAACTTTGTTTTTGTTCGTAATCCCATCAGCTGACCCGGGAAGCTGCAGTTAATAGATGGGATGCGGCGCGAAGGAGTAAAGCCGAGGTGAAATCAGTCACTCACAAAACTCAGAATCATTCTCTGTACTAACAGTTACTCTCAGAGAAGCAGTCGGTTTCCAGTGACTTTCTCGCCCTGTGCAGCCCCAGGAGCGCTGCTGCGAAGGACTCACCCACCGACGTGAACCAGGGTGGGATCAGGCAAAGGCCAAGTCCGCATTGCTAGGGGAGCATCGTCCACTGCCGCCCAA